CATCACAGCCTAGAAATACGGACAGGATGTCTGTATGCAGAGACACCTCTGGGATGTACAAGTGGAGACTGAGGAATGAGCTGAAGCTTCCTACTTACTATATAAAAAAACTTGTCAGGGAGTTTGGTGATCCACTGTTTACTTGCTTTTTGTATGGTGGTTTAATGAAACGTTGGTGACTGATAGGTTTGGGTCATGGTGGGTTTTTTTTTCATTTTCTTGTAGTATCCACTGAAGGCAGTAAAAATTTTTCATGGAGTTTTTTGCTGTTGGATCAGGCTTCCATAAGTGCTAATGCTGTTAGTGTCACCTTGTTAGATGGCTTTACGTGTTGGTGTAGTTAATCTCTGAAAGGAGAGAACTCGTCTCCACTCTTGTAAGAATTAGGTCTTTTCAGTACTCAGAGAACAGAAGGACCATATGGGTGAAGTGTAGGTTGCTATTGGTGTCTGATTAAATATTCAGCTGCCTTGTACATTAAAATGTTGTATCTCACACTTCTGATACTTAGGTCCTGGTTGCCCAATGCTCAGGCATCCTCTGTGTAGATGTGGATTATATTAATAAGCATGGCAATGCAAAGAAATTGGCTCCATCTGTCCTCAGACTTGCCAGCTGCTAGCATTTAACCCACAGGAATTTCTTGCCAACAGTTGTTTCTCCTTCCCCTGTGTTTCTACCACCATCCCTTTCTTATCTGGGCAAGCTAGTAAGACACCTATTTTGGAGGGTCTGTGAGCATTTTCCTAGCAGACAGCAACAACCAAGATGAGTAAATGCTCTGAGTTGCTTATTCACAAGCTGGGGCAGCAATGAGCAGTTTTGGCCAGGTGTCCAGGTAGACTTGAAATCACTTGAAACTCTTCCAAGCCACAGCTTCTCACCAGCAGAGAAATCCAGATTTTGCCACTGAAGGTGTAACCTCAGGGCTGATAGTTTCTCTATGTCATTTTCAGACAGCAGATGCCATCTGGTGCTGTTTGTGTGGATCCTGGTACACATATGGCTGAAGGATTCTGCAATGTCCTCTAGCAAAAGCCTGGCTTGCTAGCAGCTGGAAGCTATACATAGAAAGAGTGTACCAACTCTGATGAACTTACTAGGAGAAGGAAAGCTAATTAATCATTTATTGCCTGTGGATTCTAATCAGTGCAGTGTAACAGCACTTTGTGCTTCCAGCACTTGCAGACACTGAAGATCTTGTATAGCTTTCCAACACTGTGGGGACAAAATATAAGCCCTGTTTTATTAATAGTGAAGCATGGACTGAAGGTGAGCTTTTCATTCTTGGCTCAGCTTTGCTGCCATTTCCAAACCTTCAAGCTAAATGTGCTGACTGTCAGAAACCTGAGTTACAGAAACATATAAAACCTGTCCTCAACTTTGCTGGAGTGTCCCTGCAAACCACAGACAGGCAAGAAAACACAAGAGTAGTTCTGGGAATCAGGCCTTGTGCCTTTAGAGAAGGGCTGTCTTGAAGGCATTTTACCTGGACCTCGTTCTTTGGTCCAATGTGTATTTTATGAACAGATCTAGCAAGGTAAAGACCAAAATAAGTCAGACCTTGATATGTCTGTTTGTTGAGATCCATACGTTAAAGTGGCCAGAAGAGAGAAATGAAAATTTGAACTCTACCAGATATGAAGAACTGATAAATGACTTCTGAGTATTGGTGTTGTTTTGAGACAGCTGATGGCTTCAGAAAGAAAAAAATTGGTCAGTGTGTAGTTCTTGGAACTTGTTTTTTTTTTTGTTTGTTTGTTTTTTGCAAGTTTTATAATATGTTGAAACAATGTATTGCATAATTCCTTCAGCCCTTCCCTGTTGCTGTCAGGGTTTTGTTCTGCTTATGTTTGTATATAATTGTGCCTGTTTGGCACATTTGACTGGTTTTAGTCATCAGTTACTGAAGACACAATACTAAGAATAAACTTCACCCTTTGTACCCTTCATTTCAGTGCAGTTATCCATGTCTTCTAAAGAATGAATAATGGTGTTGTGGTGATCTGGAAATTAAAACAAATGTCTACCAACCACTAAAATGCCTCATATTTTGATGTGAAGAAGGGGTGGGAGGTCACCAAAGAAGTAATTGTCACATTTTTTTGTTAATACTACCCATGTTAGCAGGGAGATGAGATGGTACATTTGGTGGCTTGGTAAGCCTGGCAGTGAACTGAGACCCCTCTTGGACTCTCTGGGCAAGCAATACCCCCAGGGGCAGCCTGGCTTTTTTCCATCTCTGGAAGGAGATGTGCGTGAGCATGTAAAACTTAAACTGATGCTTACATGTCTTCATGACATTGCAGGCAATCTGGTCTTTACAGAGTCTTAGGAGTGTATTATGGTGAGATGGGCCATACGTGTACATTTCTAAAGGCAAAGATCTTCAGCTCCAAGACAGGCATTTTTTTTTTTTTTTTTCTGTCTGTGGTCATCCAGTGAGTCCAGATGAGGCTGTACTCTGCTTCTTGGGTGAGCAGTGCAGTCACTGAAGGCTTTCAGTGACACAGGGTGGCCTTTCAAAACAAGTCAGTATTTATTAGTCCCCTGGGAAGGCACATAGAACAAAACCAGGTTTGTGTTGCTAAATTAAACTTAAGATGGAGTCTGTGGGGACTGAAGCAACAACTCTAGATTTCTAAACCTGTTGGATGTCCTCTCTGTGTCCCAGTGCATGAAGTTCTCTTTAGTCTTTGCCACAAGCCTCCTGATACCTCGGGGCACTTTTTTTCCAGTTGGACTACTGCTGTGGTTAGAGTCTAGCTTCCTCCAACTCCTGATGCTAATCTTTGATCACTGGAGTCTTCTGTCACCTCTCCAAGGTGCTCAGATTGTTCAGGGGCAGCTTGCAGTGGTCCTTCCACAGCAAATGAGATGTATACTTACTATGGCTAATAATTTATTCCCTGGGAAAGCAGTATCTATCGTGCCTGCAGGTAGCAAAACACAGTCTCTGTTAATGAATGCTCTAGCCTCCCATATTGTCCACATTTAACATTTTATCAAAGTTGTGTTGTCCCTGGAGTGTTTGGCAGTGTGCAGGGACCAGCTTTGGAGGAAGAGCAGGATGGTGAGTTTGTGACCAGTTTTAAGAGCACAGGTGCTATGGATAATGACCAGTCTCAGTGCACTCCGGTCAGCAAGCTTACAGCAAAGTGATGAGTTCATGAATCAAAGGGATTTCTTGGGGAGATGAGGGATGGCTTCAACCCTCTCTTCTTTTGATGGTGGGATCCTCTCCAGCAGGAGCTTTAGTTTTGGACCTTCAGGTCCCAGTACAGAAACATGCTTGGCTGAACTTGGGTGATGTGTCAGGCACATTGCAGTAGCTATTTTTTTGTCTTGCTGGATGACTGAGAGCAAGAGACCATAGCCACATGTTCTGTTGAGATATCTTGTCTCTTTTTTGTGATTGACCTTGACCAGCCTGTACAGGTGCTGATTGTTTAGAGCTCACAGGTCACCAAGTAGTACTACAGTTGGATGCTTATGGGCTCACGTGTGGAAGCTGGGTGTGTAAATTGAGTTATTGCCCTCCAAACCTGTCTGTGTCTTTGTGTAAGGTGGGCAGTGGGACTGGGTGAATTAGTCCTGCTGGAAATAGCTGCAGGATGAAGGACGTTGTTAGATGATAGGGCTAAAATATGGTTGGACAGCAGGCAGGCCCATTCCTCAAGCCCTCCTAGATGTTTGTATGCTTACTACTTGTAAACTGCACCTCCATTGCAATTAATTCTTTCAAGTGAAAGAAAGCACAAGTTCAGGTAATGTTTTCCTGTGTTAGAATACGTATTTGTCACCTTTCTCTTCCATAACATCCATTAGGGATTATACTAATTTTCTGACTCCCAGACTTAGAAGGCAAGCCATCCTAGGGGTGCCTTCCTTTAAAATTAATTTTAAAATCTAGATTGATCAGTCTGCAGGTTTTGATGCTAAGTATGTTAATGATTTTCATATGCCCTTGATGTGGGGTATCATTTTCAGAGAATGACATGTAACTACCCTTCCCTCTCATGTCACAGGCAAGTGGGACTTTAATAAGACTGATCACTGCCTTGTAATTTACAGGGTGAATTCTTTCTTCATCCACCTGAAACATTTGCATTTATTCAGGAAAGAAAATAGAAAACCATCTTGGCTTCTGTTTGGCTTTTTTTTTTTCCATCAGATGTGTGGCATTTCCAGTGCTTTACTGCAAAACAAGACTCATTGATGTCTATTTGTAAAAACTTTGTGTAATGAATAAGATCTGGTTTTTGATACTGTAAGAATAGTTATCAAACCTACTTCAGTTGCCTAACATGATGTAATGATGAAGAGTGATTTTTCCAAAGGACTGAGTGTTTTTTTGTTGTTGTTTTTCGTCGTCGTTGTTGTTGTTGTTTTGTGGTTTTTTTTATTTTATTTTTTTATTATTCCTCCATAAGGCTTTCTTGCTTTACTTCCTTTCTATGGAGCTTTTTTTATGATAAGTTGATAAGTTCAAACCTGTTCCAAGCTTAGCACAGGGGATCTTGTAACACATACACTTTCATGCATCAAGCAATAAAGCAAGGGTCGGATGGGTTGGATTGGATATGAGAGCAGTGGAAGGTCAGATATGTTTTATAGAGTCTGCCAATTTCTGGGTCCTGGCTGATCTCCACATCAAAATTGTGTGACGAAACCTCAAATCTGGGAAGTCCGGTTGTTCCTAAATAACCTGATAGATTTCCCTGTATTTGTGAGTCTGTCTGTGTGTAGTTTGTCATTGTGCTTGGGGGCATGTACCTGCCTTTCTCCTATGATTTGCAGACCAGCCTTTCAGAAGACCACAGCAGCTACGTGTTTTCAGTAAAATCTGGTGCTTTCCTCTGGTAGGAAGTGTTTTAAAAATAAACTGGGGATCAGTGTACTCATCTGAATGGCTTTGCATACAGATTTGTCCAGAACTAGTGTCTGTATGTCACTGTGAGATGAATCCTGTGACAGGAGAGGTTTTCTGTTTTCCTCAGAGCAAATTGGAGCCCTGGCTGGGCAGCACATTGTGCACGTGGCCTGTGGAGAGTCTCACAGCGTGGCACTCAGTGACCAGGGCCAGCTCTTCTCCTGGGGTGCCGGCAGCGATGGACAGTTGGGCCTCACCACTATAGAAGATGCAGTGACAGTACCAAGGTAAATTTTTCAACAGGTTCAGGTTTCCTTAAGGCAGCTTCTTAGAGGTGATGCATCAAGGGTTGCTCGCCTTCCAGCTTAGAGTTAATTTCTCTGAGGGGCAGTAATTGGGCACGTCTCATGTAGGGATGTAAGGGTGATTCCTCCTCCTTTTCCATACTGTACTAGTGCTCCCTGAGCCCCTCTGGAACTCAAGCAAGTCTTCAGGAAGTTTGGTCAGAACAGGCCTTCTGCCCATAGGTACCTGGGGCAAGGAAAACAAAATCAGAGTGTGCTTGGCTTCTTCAATGAAAAATGCCACTGTGTTTGTAGAATAGAAATGCAGTGTGTGATACCCATCTCTATTCCAGTCCCTAGGAAGTCTTCTGAGATGAGATACATTTCTGAAATGGGGCTGTGTGAACTGATACTTCAGCTCTGAAACTCTTTTGCAGTGTTGCCTGTTAGCAGCAAAGCTGCTAAACCATTCTACTGCAATTCTGAATAGTGAATGTTGTTCAGAAACTTTAGAGTATTGCTCAGTTTTCTTCATTTATTTATTTAATGTATCTTACCTGTGTCAGAGCACTAATAGGGTTAAGTGCAAGGACGTTTAGATGGTGACAGAGAAGGAGGCCTGTGGCAGACACCAACACTCCTCCATCCAAAGCAGTTCACAGATGATAGGTCTCAGTTTATCACCGTAATAAAGATTGCTGCTCCCTTTGTACTCCATGGTGTTGTATCATGCTACATTAATAACAGATGTAGTCTGTCTATTTGGTCTGTCACTGTAGATCCAGTGCAGAGCAGAAGTTTGGGACATCTAAGGTGGCTGTCATTGTTGAAACAGTATTTAAAGGAAGAGTTTCAATCATAAAACATTAATGTTTGAGTTGAAGGGCTCTGTAGGAAGACAGTCCTTCACTTGCAGGTGGCTCCGATATAACAGAGATAGACTGACTTACATGTCAATGTGATGGTGTAATTTAAAAAATAACATTTTTGTGAAATAACTTGAACCTTTGACATGCTATTCTCTGTACAAAGCACTGAAGAGGTTATGGTGTTGTAACTCATATGAACTGCTAAGCTCCTGACAGCATGAAAAATGTTGATGCCTGAAAAAGAATAGTGAGAGAGATGCCAAGAACCAGCATCTTCACCATTTCCAGATGGCTGGATTCAGTGTTGTAGCAGGAAACATAACTGGAGTTAGTAGTCAAGTGTCTAAAGGTCTCCACAGATTTGCATCTATTATGTATGGATCTGTATCACTTTCAAGACTCTTCCTCAGTCTCAAAACCATAGGCTTTGTGTATATGTAGAACAAATATCTGAATGGAAATAATAAGTTTGGTCTAAGGTGATACTGTATTTGTGGACAGTTATTCTAAAATAGTGTTGTCATCTTTAGGTTGATAAAGAAATTGAACCAACAGACGATACTGCAGGTTTCCTGTGGAAATTGGCATTGCCTGGCTTTGGCAGCAGGTACTGTAACATTCATTATTTATTACCAAGATTTGTGCTGGTTTTTTGCACAGTGTCCAAGATTGTGTATTTCCACACAATAAACTAAGGACATCCCTGTCCCAACTGCTTTCAGACCAAATGAAAGTCTATAAAATGGATCAGGTACAATGAATATTGAAGAAGAGCTTTGCGAATACTGTCAGGAAAGAAAACATTACACACAGGACACCCACTGTCTCACTGGTGAATGATGGCAGGAATACTTAAAAGCTTTCCATCTTGCTGTAAAAAAAAAAAAAAAAAGCATGAATTTGTTTGTGTTGAAGTTATCCTTGGCTATTACTCTTCTGTATGCAATATGCAGACTGTTCTTCATTATTCTGTTTAAGTTACAGCAGTCTGATGCTGTATTTTGCACTAGTTGCATGTCTATTTTCCTGGTGACTTCATACTGTGCTTTTATTTTAGCGAAGAATGTCTTGCTTGATTTTTCCATCATGAGGCTTGGGTGGAAGCAAAGCCTCCAGTACTGGTTCTTGAGGCTTGGGTGGAAGCAAAGCCTCCAGTACTGGTTCTTGTTCATTTTGACAAACTTGCTTTTCTATTGACCAGTTTTTGCTCACCATTCTCTTTCTTTCCTTGTTTCAGATGGCCAGTTTTTCACATGGGGACAGAACAGCTATGGTCAGCTGGGCTTAGGCAAAGAATGTCCCTCCCAAGCAACTCCACAACGTGTCAAATCTCTTGATGGGATCCCATTGGCTCAGGTTGCTGCAGGTGGAGCCCACAGTTTTGCCCTCTCTCTCTCAGGAGCTGTGTTTGGCTGGGGGAAGAACAGCTCAGGACAGCTGGGACTAAGTGATGAACGAGGTATTAAAATTATGCTCCTAGGTTAAAGAAGGATGGAATTTTTTTGCCTAGTGTCTCTTTTCACACTGACAATATATTTTTATTGCGTGGATATATAATCCTCAGCAACTCCTCTTGGGAGGAGAGGGCAGAGGAACAGAGTCTGATGGACTCTGCAGGCTTTTCGTACTTCGTAGAAACAGAAACACTTTTTTGCCTCTTGTGGATGTTAGTGGAAATGAGGAATGTCATAAAGAAAGAGCTTTCAAATATGAGTGTCAACATGCAGGCATCGATGGAAGTGCTCATATTCTTTCTTCTTCTCAAAAATGCTTTGTACATATTTTGTTTGAAGTTGTTGTGGAACAAAGGCTTTCCCTGCAGAACAGCAGGCTGAACTCATCCCCTTGTTTGCCAACAAGTTTTTTGGCTGGTGAGCATCTGTACACTACAAAATGATGGCAGCACGGAGTATCTCAGTATTGTAAAATGATGTCTAGTTTTATTAGTTGCACAATTTTCCAGACATGCAGGGCCAATGGTAGGTCTTTTTCAGGTGGCCATGTTCAGTGAAGCCTACCCATCAACAGACTTGAACATAGGTTTATAAATGATGAAGAGTGGATATGACATTACCACTAGTCTGAAAAGCCCAGAACTCTTCTGTTTGTTATTGACACATTCTTAACTTTTTGTAAAAGCTAGTGAGTGAAAGATTTTGTTTGGAGCTTCAAATCAACCTTTTTATTGTTTTCTGCGTAGTTGCCTAGATACATAAAGCTACTTAGCTACTGAGTGTGGATGTGATACCTAGCATGCACAGATAATTTGTTTTGCATGGGTGAGTACTTGAGGTGTATATATTTGTAAATGATAGGTTGCATCATGTAGTAGCATATAAGCACTATATGTTGCAAGAGAAAAGCATTACCTCACATTTTGTGTACCTATAATGGAATGATGCGTTTTGACGATTACTCAAAACCAACCTGTAATTTAGCAAAGGAGGCTTATATGTTGTATGCATTATTTGATCTTGCTTTACACATTTAGAAATACGAAACAATTGTAAGGCTTGTAATGTATCTTGTATTCTTGCAAAAATGCTCCAGGTCTATTCTCTTGTACTGTACATAAGCTAGAACTGATCTAGTGTAAGAGCAGCCATGTTGTTTCCATGTAGACTGGCAGATAAATGCTTTTAATTTCAACAAAGCTGCAGTTTATATGAGAGGCTTGCTTTGACATCGGGCTAATCTTAAATGAACATCTAAGGGACATCTACTTGTGGGACTGTGTTGGCCAGGGATCGTACTCTGCTTACCCCCCAGTACATGGCACTATAGTAAATTAATGATATTTATGGTAAGTGAATCATGGTAAGACAATGTGAATTATACTTAGTGAACATGAACAGGAAAGTCTACAATCATGAGTATTCTGCAGCACTGTTATTTAAACAATAACCCTGTAGAGATAAGAAAGTGTCATTCCTGTCAAAATAAAGATTGAGAGTGCTAAAATACAGAATAAAGTAAATGAAAAATCTGTTCTCATTTCTGAATCCATGAAAACGTGACCATTTTCCTTTCGCTACCCAGAAAAAAGCACCTGTCAAATCCTTGGGTGAGTCTTAAAATATGGACAACTTCTATAGGTAGGAACTTGATTTTTTTGTTCTATGAAGTAAGCAGCTGCTCCCCTTAATATCTAACTGTTTTGGGGTGCCTACTGCTTCTTGAAATGCTTAGCTTTTATTTTATCTTTATATCAGTAAAACATATAGCCTTGCTTAGTGTATTCATCCTTGGGAGACTCATTTCTAATGATTAGAATGTCAGAGTGAAGGAGAAAAGCATCTTTTAACAGTTGGCAGTGATTAGCCTTTGCAAGTAGGAGGATCTTCTTAAAGGATGACAATGGAAGGAAGACTAGACATTTAAATACACCTTGGGATTCACCTTGTGTATGCTAGTGTCTTCCGTGTGTCAGGATTGTTCTGTATGGAAAAGGTCTAAGCAAGGATTTGGAAACAAATGTTTGCAGTCATCAGTGAGGAGTCTGGAATGGTGCATGAGGCTGAAGGTGGGTGTAGCTAGGCTACACTCATCATAAACTCCCAAACTGCAAGTTTGGAGATAACTCATGTTGGGTTTATACAAGGCTCTCAGTATTTGCATTCTTGCTCTGGACAGTTTTCTTTGAGCCAGGACAAATTTTTTGAGTCAGAGGGGGAAAGCAGCAGTGAATACTCAAGAACGTGGGTTTTTTATTTTCCCCCAGTTGTTAAAGCTTCCATAGTTTACATAGATTGTATCTGAAAATCAGAATGCCAGTGGTTTTCTCAGACATTCAGGTTTGGGTTTATGAAACAGCTCCTGTGGTGTTTGTTTTTTCTTTTCTTCAATGCAGACCGAGAATCCCCTTGTCATGTGAAGTTGTTGCGGTCTCAGAAGGTTGTTTACATCAGCTGTGGAGAGGAACACACAGCAGTTCTGACAAAGGTAAAGATGCTGGCCTGGGAATCCTGGTTGCTGTCTTGCCTGCCTGATGGTTTTGCATAGTTTACTGGGTAATGGTTGAAAAGAACAGATTGATGTACCATATTCCATCTGACTCTAGTAAAAGAAACTAAATGGAAAATATGGTCTTACTGTAATTTATTCTGACATACATTGCCAAGATGATCCATTGCTGTTTTTGAAGATGAAGATGTTAGTAATCCATGACAATGAATAGTAAAACCCAGGTGAATTGCTCAAAGAAATTAGCTGTGAGCAAAAAAAAAAATTAACAAATATATATCTAAAGGGGTGAATATAGAGTTTTGTTGGAAGTTAAAAAGAGAGTGATTCTGTGCATCAGAATAAAATGTGTGTAGTTTAATGAACAGAGGATGACTCTAGGATTTGAAAGATCACTGCTCAGTTCTTACCTTGCTTCTGCCACTTTCTAGGTGCTGCTTCCTTTTTTTTTGGTGTCTCAGTGTTTTCCACTGTGAAATGAATTAAACAGCTGGCTTTAGGATTCCTGTGGGAAAAACACTATTATAGAAGATTAGTTCTGTAGAAGCTCTTGTTCAAAGAAAAAAAAGGTCGCAGTCTTTTTGATCAGCAGCTGTCAGAAATGGGTGTAAAGTATTGTGGAAATGGGCGCTATTCAACCATGTTTGAATCTGCTGGGATTTCAGACTCATCTGGTGATGGTGGGGGGAATTGCTTGTCTAGTGTAGACTTGCCTGAAGATAATTCTGTTAATCTCTGATGGGTAACAAGGTAGCTGTTTGGAAGCTGCATTAGCAGAACCCAAGTTTCTTTGAATCCTTTGGAAATCCCCAGCAATCTCTGCTTGAGCTTGGACTTGTACTGAAACGAGTCAGAGAGATACTGCTGGATTTTGGGTCCCTAAATGGAGAATATGCTGTTTGATTTGCTAACAGAGTGGAGGGGTGTTCACGTTCGGTGCAGGTTCCTGTGGGCAACTGGGACATGACTCCATGAATGATGAAGTGAACCCCCGAAGAGTTCTTGAGCTAATGGGCAGTGAAGTATCCCAGATTGCTTGTGGCAGGTGAGTCCTGTGTGCAGTCAGAAATTTTCTTTGGTGGAGGTTAATGCTGACACAGAGTCTTATAAACAGGTCGATTAGTCTTGCTTCTGCATCCTACATGTTAAAAACTAAGTTAATTTAAATTTTATTTTCCATGAGAATTTTGAGGCTCTCTAAAGAAGGCAGGTTTTTAATTGGGGTTGTGCCCTGTGCCATAACCTGGTAAAAGACACCTTTCTGACTTAATTCTGCACGACTTGTGACCAAAGGGGATGCTGCTCTAAAGTTTCCAGCCTCTTTCATGAAAAGAGAGTTATTAACACTGGTGCTGTGCTGTTGCCTTTTGATATGTACAGGCTTAGCAAATGACTAAGCTAATTTTGCCTGTGAGGTACCAGCCATATGCTGGCACAAGCTGCTCTTTGTCACTTACACCTAAAGAGTTCCATCCCATAAACTGGTGCCATCAGGTGGCAAAACCCGAGCATTGGTGTTAGTCTAAAGATGCTGCTTTGCACTAGATTCTGGCCTAGGGCAACTGAAATACATTTTAAGTGGTGTTTAGGTGTTTTTTTTTTTTTTTCTTTTTATTGTTAAAACAAGGCCCAAACTGTGTACCCATCTCTGTTACAGACATCACACTTTAGCCTTTGTGCCTTCTTCAGGAATGATCTATGCATTTGGCTGTGGAACAAGAGGCCAGCTGGGAACAGGGCACACCTGCAATGTTAAGTGTCCCTCTCCTGTCAAGGGTCACTGGGCAGCTCACAATGGGCAACTCTCAGGGAAACCTGGTACGTACTGTGTGCAATTTGGAGTCACAAATGAACATAAATAAATTAATTTCATCTATGGCTGTCTCAAGACACCTTGACATTGTTCTGTGAAAGTTCTTGAAATAGCAAAAGAAGCCCATCCTCCTGTCCCAAATGTACTGTGAAAATTACAGGGTGACCCCTTGCTCTCTCTGTTAATGTGTGCCCTTTCTCTTTTTATGGCAGAGCTCATTTGGTGATCTTGAGCCTTCATGAAATTGTACTACTACTGATCTCTGAGGGTTTTGGTTTCTCTTTAAAACCCCCATTGCAGTTTAAAAATTACAACTTTTCCCTCCTGCTAGGCCCTGTGTGTATTTCAAAGTGCTATATTGCTTAAGTTCCAATATGTTGATTTCAGCCTGATGTTCAAGGGACACAGGTGCTCCTTGTAGTGTAAAGCCTCAGATGCTGACAGTGCAAGTGTGGGGGAAAAGGCACAGTAGGAATTTGCATTCATTAACCTCTAATACAACTGTGTCTCTTTCTTCAACAGATGCCTGTAAATATCACATTGTTAAACATATCTTCTCTGGAGGAGACCAAACATTTGTGCTTTGCTCCAAATATGAGGTAAAACAAATGAAGTATCTTCTCAGGTCTGCTCCCTGTCCTAGACTTCACAATGCATCTTCCGGTTTTAGTAATATCTCCTGAAAATGAAGTGTTGCTTTGGAGTCCATTCTGCCTTACAAACCTTACCAATGATGACAGTTCTTGCAGAGATTTACATCTTTTTAGGAGTGGCTGAAAGTTGCCTTCCTTTGGAGGCACACCAAAGAGCCACTGCAAAGACACTGACTTCAGTTTGATCAGCAGGGAGGGGAGTCCGTGTCCTTTGCAGATTGGAAGCGAGGGGTTGCTTTCTCCCTGAGACACCGGGGTCTGTGTGATTAGAGTGTAGGGCTGTGGACCATGTACACTGGGGTTTGTCAAGATATGCTGGATGGAGGGCTGAATGCTGAATTGTTTTTTCTGCTTGTGTCGTCTTATTTCTTTCAAGAAGTGTTTGACATATACTTTTGAGGCATGGAAGTACGTCTAGAATAAATGTACTAAGCCTGTAGTTATATATGGTGGTATTTAAGAGGGCTTTGGTACATTTCAGGAAATATTTTGGTTTTTTTTCTTTCCCTCTCTTTAAAATGTATTTGATGATGATGGTTTTTTCCATACCTTTCCATGCCTTTCCTTTTGGACTTCTTAGTAAGCTACAGTTTCCTAACCAAACCTGTTCAGAGACCACACTAAGGAAACTATCAGTTATATATAGAAAACGGAGATTATGGATAAGAAGGAATTGTTTTACAAGCCTTGTCTTTGCTGAAATCTGTATCTTCTCACAGAATTCCTTGCCTGCTGATGATTTCCGGACCATAAATGAAACACGTTACACCTGTTTAATAAATGATGAAACTATAGATGTCTGGAGGCAAAAGCTTTTAGAAAAGAACAGTTCTAATTCTGTCAAGTAGGTATTGTGGCACTGGACAAGCCTTTTGTTGAAAGTTTAATTTAAATAATTTTTTTGGCTTCCGTGCCATGCTTTCACTTGAAATTTAGCAGCCTTTTCAAGTGTGGTTCTAAATCATTTCCAAGGGGAGGACAGTTGCCAGTCACAAGGCTGCCAGGTTAGAGCTTCTGAGCAAAAGCAGAGGAATTTGAGGCTGCCTCAGAACATTGCAAATGGTGGGTGGGAAATGGATTTTAAATTTGTCCTTGATTGTGTGCTTAGGGTTCATGAAAAGCAGCAAGAACTTGTGAACAGACTGATTAAATTCCTTCCCCTGTGTGCCTGCCATGAGGAGGGCAGAATAGGTGGAAAGGGGACACTGCTAACATCCCCCCCTTCAAAGAGGGGTGTTACACGATCCTGAATGAAGTGCTTACCCCTGTGCCTCTGAAGGGGTGATCCTGACATTGTTTCCCATAGAAGGAAGGGAAGTGAGCTGAAGTGATTTGTTGGGACATTTATTCATAACCTCTGTCTCTGTTTTCTTTTGTCTTCCTGCTGCAAACAGTAATGTTGTTCAGATACTGTCCTCAGCTGCCTGCTGGAATGGAAGTTTCTTGGAGAAGAAGTAAGTGGCAAACTTACAGAAGTATGGCTTTCCCTTGAGGCAGACTGGAATCCCTTTACTTCACTCACTGCTGCAGTGGGGTTTGATTTTTCTGATCAGACGGGAAACTGGGGCAGAAAGTGTCCACTAAAGAGGTGGGTGGTTACAGCTGGGTAAAGAAGGCAAATGGTCTAAGAAAGTGCATGGTGAGTGTACTGTAAGTGGCACAGATTCCTTGGAGTTCTCACAACTGTTGTTTTTCCTTATGAAATGAATATCAGCATCTTTAAAAGAGAGGGAGGGGGAGACAACATTAAGGGAAATGAGTGATGCCAGGTATCTGAATAGTCTCTTACCCAGCTGAGCTAGCTGGTGGGGTCTGGTGTGTGAGGAGGTATGCTTCAACACAGACTGGTCTTGAGAAATACATTGGGGGCAGCATGGAAGCACTTCCCTTTTAGGTGACATCAGTTGTGGGAAGTTGTCTGTTCCTGCTTACAGGAATTTCACATGGGTGTAACCACCAATAGTTGGTGACAAGGTTGCAATATGCGTAGCTGAGTCAAAGGCTGTGGGTTGGGAAGGATTGTGTTGGTTGTGCCTGTAAATGTTGGGGAGGTAACAGCATAAGATGAGGAGGAGGAGAAATTTTTTGTGATGATGTGATGAGTAAATGACCTGTAAGAAGGTGAAGAAAAGCTTATTTACTCTGAGTAATTGCTGAGTAATATTTTCCAAGAGCAACTTGAAAAAAAACTATTTACTCATTGTTCTTGCATTTTTCTGCTTGTCCAATGGTTTCGTCTCTAGTGTTGTGACAAGGTGAAATGCTGGGGTTTCAACCCCAAGCCCCAAATTAAGGGTGACATATGGGTGATTCCCACAGCCCTTCACAAAGGGGGGTGAGTTTGCCTTTAGGCTTCCCTCCAGGGTGTGGCCGGCCTTGCAGGGAGAGCCGCTGGGTAAATGAGCCCCAGGTGTCTGCATTAAGTAAGCAAAGGTCAGGTGTCCCACTTAAGGATAAAAGCTGGGACCCCTTGCAGGAAAGGGTTGTGTCTGTCTGTGAGGTGGATGCTCTGTGCAGAGTTCCCTGTTGGGGAAGGACCTCCTGCCTCCCTGGGACTGGGCTCCAGTCAGGTCTGGCTGTTGTAAATGTGGGCTGTGTAGAGATTCAGTATGTGGCTTCCTTGGTCTTATGTATTTGGCTTGTTGACTTGGTTGACTCCTGTCCCTTCTATTGGAGGCTGCATTTCACCATTTATTCCACCCATTGTTGGTTGTGCAGTGTTGTTGTTGTGGTCAGTGGGATTGATGTTGATTATGTATAATCTGACTTGTTTGTACCCCCAGCGCTCACCATGTGCTGACCCTTTTGTATCAAATACAATTTGGTTATTAGTTCATTTTATGCTGGCTATGTCCTTTATGCTAGGCCTAATACTTGGCAAAACACAAGGCAGTGTGTTACTGCATCAGGAGAGTTGTGTCATGTTGGTTTAAAACACTTGTTGAGGTATCCAAGCTGTTGAGTCACTGTAAATAGTCCCAATGTCTCCTTTGAATGTGGAAATGAGTGGAGTTTATGACTTCATCACCCCAGTGCAGTTTTCTTTCCCCTTTAGTGATGTCTTGGCTAGTGCAGGAAATCTTTGACCAAATGAATGATAAAATTTGAAGCCACCATACACTGAAGTGAGGCTGTATTTAACCATGTACCTTTATATGTGAAGCCTTATGTCACGCTAGTGTAGCCCTCCAGCATCCTAATGCTATGTAGGCCTATTTGCAGTACACAGGTACACAGGGTTAGATGGAAAAGCAGCTTTTCCATGGCTGTGTGACTGGGCATGCTGCAGTGCTAGTGCACATCACAGCCTGAAGCGCGCTGTACCACAGTGTGACTCTGAGGAGCTATTTCCAGCCTGGTGCCTGTGCTGTTACGGAAATAGCCATCTTACTACAGGCATAATGTGTCATTATAGTCACACCAGCAAACTAACAAATGCATCCTATCTTTGATAGCTACCTTTTCCTTCAGAGTGTCTAACACAGCACAGTCTCAGATGAATAGTGACAGACTTGGGAAAAACTTGAGGTCGATGGAATTGTAGCGGTGACATTTCTTTTACTAGCAACTGCAAGGTTTTATATGCAACTTTACTGCAGACAGTGGTGCTGAGAGCCTCTGCTACATATGCTGATCATGCTTTAGATGCTGAGCAAGGTAGTTTACCTGCTGGACTGGACCTTCAGTGTTGCTAGATCTGGCTGTTAGACTGTTGTCTTCCACAGGCTTACCTTCATTATCTCTCTTACACGGGTAGTCTGAGTAAATTACAGCCTTTCAAGCACAGCAGAAAGGACAGCACATCTTTGTTACAACTAAAGACCACGTGAAGACTGTTCTCAGCTATGCTGTGTTTTGATTGTGGTCGTTTAGTTTTAGAAAATTTGAGAGTGGAATTGCTAAAAAGTTACTCTGACTATCTTCCTGTTTTATTTTAAAATTCTCATTTAATGTCCCCTTTTATATCAGTCAGCGTTGTCTTATGCATCACCCTTCCCTTTCTTACTGGGTATGGTTAAACATATTTTGCTATAGAAGTAGTGTATATGAAGATGACACAGAGGATTTTGACACATATGATACAGGTTTTTAAGCAGTCTGGCCTGTCTAGGCAAGCTGTTAAGTCAGTGAAGGAGTCCTGGGGAAGTCAGAGACTTTGATAAAGTGCTTTTCTGCAAGAATCCCAACCCTAAGCAAGGCCTGGAGGAGTTCAGAAGGGAGAGTTGTCTATCTTGTTTTTAGCAAGAAGATTCCAACTTGTGCTTTGTTTCTAGCCTGATGAAATCCTTAGAGATTGTTTCTCCATTGCTTGTTCTCAGGCCATGCTGATACATAGGTAATAGTGTCACTTCCTTAAACTTACTGTCTGCCTGTCTTGTGTGGTTTTGGTGTGTTTATTTATTTATTTTTTTTAAAGAATTGATGAACACTTTAAAACCAGTCCGAAGATCCCAGGGATTGATCTGAACTCCACCAGAGTGCTCTTTGAGAAGCTTATGAACTCTCAGCACTCCATTCTCTTAGACCAGGTATTGTACTGCTGGCGTTTTGGATATTCAGAGGGAAATAAAGACTTTGCTCCTCTGTAATGTAAAAGTAATGGCAGCTTTTTTGGGGAGGGATTATATCCCAAATCTGCAGGCCAGATCCTTCATGGTATCAGTGGATACTTCTCCACTAACCTGGTCTAATTTTCACCTTCTCAGAATGTATCTCTAAGACTTGTTTTTAAAAAGTTTTTGTCTCACAGCTTTTAATACTTGAAATGGCTGCTAAAATTAATTCTGTGTATACTTGTAAATAATGACTATGTGCTCATTTATTGCCTGTCAGGAGTTGAACACTTTATGATTATATAATTTATTCTAACTCAGAGGATTTCTTTCACAAGTGAAGAGCTGTGGGACAAAATCATGTATGTTCCCCATGCCATTTTTTGGCTATAGTTTTTATAGCTTTTTTTTTTTTACTTTGGGTTTGACTTTTAAAACAGGGGTGTGACCTTAGTGAGAAGGATTAACTAACCTTAGGCAAGCCCTGGAAAAACCTATCCAAGCGTTCATGCATTTTTGAAGAATCTGAGTTTAGTCCTGTCCTATGGAGTGTTTTTAGGAGATCATATCATCAGCAAAAGTTAAGTCCGCTCATTCTGAGTGAGCTCTATTTCATCAGTTATTACACTTCATCTACGTTGTAGGTGTGCTGTCACCCAGGATAAGTTGCCTTCTTTTGTCTTGTTTTCTTATAGATACTGAAGAGCTTTGAAAGTTTTTTGATTCCTCAGCTGTCCAGCTCACCACCAGATGTTGAGGCAATGAGGATCTATCTGATTCTCCCTGAATTCCCACCTTTCCAGGACTCCAAGTATTATATCACATTAACACTTCCCCTGGCAATGGCTATTCTGCGCCTAGATACCAACCCCAGCAAAGTTCTTGGTAAGAGGCTGGCATTTAAGATGCATGTTGCTTTCTATCCAGCTGGGACAAAAAAATGTTGCCTTTAGGTCTTTGTCATGTTTGATTTTTTTCTATTCTGTTACAATGGCTGCAATGATGATTTGGTATGATTTGTGATATAGTGTTGTTATGAAGCAGTTGCCTGTAAAAAGCAGCTGGGAACCAAAAGGACTCAAGGAATCCTCCCCCAAAACCTGTGTTGCCATGTAAAAGAATTGTAAATATAAAATTTGAATTTTAAACATGAACTATGAGGAAATGAAGAATGTGCCATGCAGGTAAGATATTGGAAGTTTCTTACAATAATATAAAACATATTATCCACACCCCCATGAATTTTATAAAGGAGTAAAATAAAAAGGAAAATTCAGGTTAAGAATTGTGTTAATTTATAAGTTTTAAAATTTTAGAAGTAAAATATAATTTCAAAGAACACTTACTAAGGAGGTTAATCTAATTTACATTATGTAGTTTACCTAATTCAGAGTTCAGTTCCAGATAAATTTGCATGCCTGCTTGTGAAGATAAATAAAAGAATATACTGGATATAATATACAGGACAAAGTAACTTTATAAGGTGCAGGAAAACCTATTGGCTGGTCCATAATCAAGCTGAACACCCCAGCTCTTCCCCCACTTCTGAATCTTTTAATTTCTGTTAGTATTATTTCCTATGAGCTCATTTTAAGCTAAGCAGAACGTATGCTGCTAATGATTATTACTCATGTTCCCTAATCTATTACTTTTCTTCTTATCTTACTCTGTTTCTTAAACTTGTCTTATACTAAATATTAGGCTATGTAATGCATCCAGACCTCCAGGAATATTGCTCCAGTGAAATGTATTTTGAGGTTTAGTGATTTTTTTTTTTTTTAATTCAAGGAGGCTGTGGAATCAAGTTTCCTTCTCTACTCAGAGTGGTGCACTGTGATTGTTAGAATACAGAAATGTAAAGGATTCTCATACTTTTGTCTGCTGGAATCTATTATGCTGACGCTTGAGAGGATAAATTGGTGTTTGTTTCTAACAGCTGACATGATGGTTTCCCAGGCTCCAGCTTCTACTTTGATTAGTTCTAGCAAAGCAGCTAACAGTCAGGGTCCCTTCACAGGGAGAGGTAAGGGTTACCTGTCCTTGGCAAGAAATAAATCAGCCTTTCTAAGGAGGAAGAGTTTGGACTTTTAGTGCAGAAGTGCCAGGAGACCTGCTAGAAAAGTGTGGTGCTACAGAGAATTGCCCAGGCAACTGCTTGCTTATCACTCATGAGAGACAACAGTTTCCCTGAAAGATCACAGTATCTTGAATACAAGAAACTTGAGACAGCATCTTGAATTGAAGGTTGAAAAACCTTGAATTCAGGCTCTCACACTGATTGGGGATTGGGGCTGGGTAATGACTGGGGTGGTTGTATGAGAGTGGAAAGGAAAGAGCTTTTCAGTTTCTGGTATCTAGCTGATTCTTTGCTCACTTTCCTCTTGCTATGGTTAGGACAGAAATGTGGAAGGGTTTTTTTTGAAACAATCTTTAGGTGTGTTCCTCTATTTTCAGTTGTAATCCCTTCTTCAGGGGTTACTCTGGCCATTAATTCAGTATATTAATGTTCCTCTGCTTTCCAGATAACTGGTGGTCTCAAGTATGCCCAAGATACTTCCTCAGGCTAGTGGACCTCTATAAAGGTGCAGTGGTTTACCTCCTCAGTGGAAGAAAGACACTGTTGATTCCAGTCCTGTTCAGTAGCTATATTACAGCTGCTCTCAGACTTCTGGAGAAACTCCACAAGGTAAGAAGAAAGCCTGGGTACATGTTGGCTCAAAATGATTCAGTCTTTTCTGCTCTTTGCCAGTTGGCAGGGGCAGAGTGGTTGTGGTCCTGGCTTGTGAGCTGTTTCATTGTTCACCAAGACACCACATGGGGAAGATGTTAGTGGTTTTCCTGAATTCAAGGTCCTTGATGATGTAGTCCTGTCTCAAACACTAGGAAGAAATTACACTAAGGAATGCTGCTGCTGAGCCGCCAGACTGTGCACTGTGGCATCACAAGTACCTGTCCCTTGATACTTTCTGCTCCCACTGTGTTGGTGCTGGGTAGTCTGGCTGAGAAGGAGAGGGAACTAAAATAACTTAGAGGTTTATCTTGATTCTTATTGGCTCATACTAAAATATAAGGGATGATGTGTTTTTGCAAGGCTTCCTGGGTCCGATTGTTCCAAGCTGCTATAATTAATTTTACGAAAGCAAACCTGTCTATGCTGAATATATCCATATTTTAAAAACCATCTGTTTTCTTCACTAGGTAAATCAGAAGGTTAAACATGTAGAATATGATAAGTTTTATATCCCTGAGATTTCCAGCTTGGTGGACATTCAGGAGGATTATCTCATGTGGTTCTTGCATCAGGCTGGAATGGTAAGAGGTTTTATGTATAGTCATGGAATAGGTGTCCATGTTTGTGTCTCTGGTTGTAGATCTGTATTTTTAATCTCTTAATGAGAGTGTAATGTATTCTATATAGGAGCGTCTATATGTTAAGCCTCTTAAATTTGAGTACTTGGTGGCTTGACAAAGTTCATGTAAAATAAGGCTATCAGAAGAGCTGGAGCTCACAATATTTAAGTAACGCTTGCAACAATCTGTGATTATTCATGTGAATTTCATTCAATCCATGCACAAGGGGATTAATTCAGTCACTGGATCCTTTTAATGTAATTGACACCTCAGGAGCCATATCCTGTATTCTAAAATTATAATTTTTACCCTTTACTTCTGCTGTTTAGGCAGGTATTGTGAATAATGTAGCCAGTGATCTTAAAATGTTGCTCTGTAAGAGGAGGCAGTGTGGCGTTCTGGCTAGGGGACTGAACCAAGACTCAAGAGATGTGGGTTCTATTCCTGGCTCTTCCAGTAACCTGCTGGGTGATCTTGGGTAAGACCCTTCACCTCTTTTATGCCTCACTTTCACATCTGTAAGAAAGGAGATAACTAAACTGAGAGCTGGAATATGCTGTGTAGGAACCCAGGGAGATTGATTAATTATAACAAGGAAAGGCATCCTAGGTGTGAGAAAACACCAAAAAACATCCACCAAGGGATGTTGCAAGAGTAAAGTCTGACTGTAGCAAGAATTTTTGTGTGTGGTTTCATAGATTTTCTAAATGTTACGTGTGCTGTGTCCCCCGTCCTCTTCTGTCCATTATTTAAATAATGCTGCTCTGTGCTTACTTTTAGTGAGCAGAACAATAAAATACTGACTCAAATTTATGTAACAGTGATAGTTAAAAATGTATTGATATGGATAATGAGAGGAGTAATTGGTGTTGCAGGAGTGGTCTTATATTGTCATGTTGTGGCCTTATGGTCTCTTCTGTTGTTTTGTATGGTCTCTGCCTTGGGAGTAGTTTTCTTTTTCTTTGTAAAAGTTTCACCTATGGCAGGCTAACACAGGCTTCTGTGCCAGTTAGTTCTCTTAGTAATGTTTGATGTTCAAGTTTTGAATTAGACTTGTGCATTTACTTGAGAAGGAAGTTCCCATGCTTTTCTTTGAGAGGAAGAAACTGGGTTGTTGGTTCCAGAGGAGAAAAATTTTCTTTGGGTCACCTTTGAATTAGTCCGTCCAAAAAAAACAGACAAGACACACAATCAAAAGAGTAAAAGATTTTAATATGTATGTTTTTCCTTCACAGAAAGTAAGACCATCTATCATGCAGGTAAGAGAATTGTTTTTCATGACTCCTATTTAAAGAAGTATTATGGAAGCTGTAGATAGGAACCAATCTGCCTGCCTTTCTTGCAGGATGCTGTGACACTTTGTTCTTATCCTTTCATCTTTGATGCTCAGGCAAAGACCAAGATGTTACAGACAGATGCAGAGCTACAGATGCAGGTAATAGTTCTCTCTCTCTCCCAATTTTCCAGCCCCATTTCTTTTTCTCTGCCTTTTGTGTTGATGCCTGCAAGGAAGGGTGTTCACTGGGAGTTAGTGTGTGCAGCACTTTATTGTTTGCATGATACAGGAGAGCAGAGTAGCTGGAGAACCTCTTCAGCCTGGATATTGCAGAGGCATTGCTTAGTGTCTTTCACTTGAAAATGTTTGATGACATCAGAACTGCCAGATGTACATGTGGTGGAAACTTAAACAGTACAGGAAAGGAATGCTTATGTAGTTATGATAGTCCAAGGAGAAGTAGTAAAGTGAGGTCTCTATTAGAGGAACTGTGAAGCTGGAAACGTAGACAAGCTTTCAGGTAAGTGGGCACTTTTTTCAAGTTTCTGCCTGGTACAGGAGTGGTTGTCAGAAGTGGAGGGTTGAAGACCAACTCCTGACACAGTTTATGGTTGCAAGCAGCAGCTGTTGTCAGCAGCTGACTCACCCATTTGCAGTGAGGTGTGCAGACCTGTGACTCTTCAGGAGTGTGTTCAGAGCAGGTGTTAAGCTCCAGCACCTTTACCCTGTATAGGATCATAGAATGGTTTGGGTTGGAAGAGACTTTAAAGATCATCTATTTCCACTGCCCTTGCCATGGGCAGGGACCCTTTCCACTAGCCTGGGTTGCTCAAAGCCCCGTCCAACCTGGCCTTGAACACTGCCAGGGAGGGGGCAGCCACAGCTTCTCTGGGCAACCTGTGCCAGTGCCTCACCACTCTCACAGTGAAGAATTTCTTCCTTATCTCTAATCTAAATCTACCTTCTTTCAGTTTAAAACTGTTATCCCTTGTCCTATCCCTACACTCTCTGATAGAGAGTCCCTCCTCATCTTTCTTGTAGCCCCCTTTAAGTACTGGAAGGCCACTATAAGTTCTCTCTGGAGCCTTCTCTTCCCTAGGCTGAACAACCCCAACTCTCTCAGCCTGTCCTTGCAGGGGAGGTGCTCCAGCCCCTGATCATCTTCTTGGCCTCCTCTGGACCTGCTCGAGCAGGCCCATATCCTTATGTTGGAGGTCCCAGAGCTGGACAGGTGGGATCTCATGAGTGGAGTAGAGGGGCAGAATCACCTCTCTCAACCTGCTGGTCACACTCCTCTTGATGCAGCCCAGGTTATGGTTGGCTTTCTGGGCTGTGAGTGCATGTTGCTGGCTCATAGTTTTCCATCCAATGATGCCCCCAAGTCCTTCTTTGCAGGGCTGTTCTCAATCCACTCATCATCCAGCCTGTATTTGTGCTTGGGACTGCCTCAACAAGGTGGCAGCCAAGCCAGCTCACAGTCAGACTGTGACAAGGACAGCTGGCCTCTGTGCCAGTGTAAACCTCCCAGCTCCAGGCATTGCTCATGCAGGTGGCTCTTGAGAGGGGCAGAGCATTGAGCACTGATTCCTCATCCAGTGCAGCCGAGGTCTGAGGCTTATCCCATCCTCTGTGAAATGACTTTGCTGAGGTCCTTGGTTGTCAGGTTCCTTTAGGGTAGAAAACTATCACCGTAGTTATTTGTGGCCATGGTGCTGATTCCATGTTATATCCCTCTTTTAGATTCCCTATGGCCACTTGAACACATAACCCGCAGCAAGGCAGAGGAGTCTCAGTATATACTCAGAAGCTGGAGTCACCTTCTGCTTTCATTTTCTCCCCCTCTTCCTTATATTTTCAGCTGCCCAGTTTGTGAGCAGGGTATCTACCTTACCTTGACAGGACAGCAGGCAGGTAGAGGTTTTGTAGCTCTGAGAGATAGCATCTTTATGAAGACAACCACTTAGAGGACAGAGAAACCAGTACTTCTGTGAGTGCTGGAATGGGGGAAGACTGGTTTCCAGTGGATTTGTGTCTCGGGTTGAACTGATTCTTAAACAGAATTTTCAAATGGAATTTGCCATTTACTATGAACAATACATGAGAATGAATATACTATGTGTGGTCAAAGCTTTGACTGGCCTTACCTGACACCAGAAAATCTGTGTAGATGAGAGTTTTGAATTGTATGTGATGGATTCCCTGGTGCCTTGCCAGGTGTGGTTGTCAACTAGCTCCTCACTTGGTATGTTAGTAACATTGCTTTCCCTTTGTAGTCTCTCTGACTCTTCTCAGGGTGTGTTCACACTGAGTTTCTTGACTCAAGAGCATAAATAAATACTTTTTTCCCCACCCACCTGCCTAATGTCAAAAAATGTTTGGGAATTTGATCTCTGTTGCTCAAATTTGGTGAATCGATTGGTGGACTCAAAAGGTGTTCATATGGGAAATGGGTTGGGGGGCTAGGTAGGCATACAGACGCACACACTTGTATGGAGTGAGCATGTATTCCTTGTACCCTCGGGACACCAAACTAAAAGAGTAAGGAAGGAACACCAGACATACAGCAGTTAACTGTTTTCCTTCCATAGGAAGAAAGGAGCCAATCAGCAGCTGTTTTTCACCCTTCTCTTATCTACAGGTTGCAATAAATGGTGCAAACTTGCAGAATGTCTTCATGCTTCTCACCCTGGAGCCTCTGCTGGCCAGAAGCCCTTTCCTTGTACTTCACGTTCGCAGGAGTAACTTAGTTGGTGATGCTTTAAGGGAGTTGAGCATCCATTCAGACATTGATTTGAAAAAGCCTCTTAAAGTAAGTTTTTCCTATACCTTTGGCATCCTCTCATTCAGCCAACATTTCTGCAGCCTATCAGCCATTCATTCACATTACTGCTTCACCAGTGTACAGTGGCTTCTCCATAGGTATAACACACAGGGACACTTGACCTTATCAGTGCAAGGGTTGAGTCTTTCTTCTGTCCGATGCCTGGAGCGTTTTGGCAGTGGACAGTTTACAAGAAGACAGGCAGGGGGTTTACTCTCTTTTCCTGGTGTGTCCAGTGTATAAAGGGTAGGGGAGGAAACGTTTTTATGATAGTATGCAGTCTCTATTTTGTTCTTCAGCAGCAATAGGCCACTTAAAATAGGACATGTTTTATCTCTGAGAGGTTGCTACAAAATTTAGCAGTTGCTGTCATGTTGCTGCTTTGCTTGTTGGGAGGACAGGTGGTTATTTATGATTTCCATAAGGAGAGAAACATCTTCAAAATGTCTGATTTGCCACCCTTTGTTCCCTTTCCCTCCCTGCAAGCAGAGCACTGAAACAGGCTCATGGGTTGCAGTGGATTTGGGCATGTTTGGCAATTTCTTTGTGTGGCTCCTGATTAGAAAGATGTCTAATTCACTCAGTCTCAGCTCTGCATCCCTGTTACTGACCTGCTTTTTCTACAGGTCATCTTTGATGGTGAGGAAGCTGTTGATGCCGGAGGAGTGACAAAGGAATTTTTCCTCTTGTTGTTAAAAGAACTCCTCAACCCTATCTATGGCATGTTCACTTACTACCCAGAGTCAAACCTGCTGTGGTTTTCAGACACGGTAAGCCCTTGCCCTGTGTACATGCAGGTTGAAATAATATGCTGCATTTGAATGACAACAAGGTTAGTGGCAAACTATAGGGAAGAAATGATCTTCCTCTCATTTTCCACCCACAATACAGTGTCAGCTCTGTTTTCAGTCAATGTAAATTAGTACAGGTCCATTAACTTTAGTAGAATGGTGATGGTTGTGCCTGTTAAGGAGTTAGCTCTTTCTCTTTATTCTTATCCCATAATAAAACTTGTATTAAGTATCAGATGACAATTAATAGAACCCTTATTGTTATGAATGTGATTAATCATGTGCTGTTTTATAGAACCAGAGGTTTAGGTGGTAATGGCCTTAGAATTCTGTGCTTCCCTTGCTGTTCACGTAATTGCAACCAATCCACTTAGTCATGCCTCACTATCACCTTCAGGGTCTAAACTTGTTAATGCTTTATGTGAGGAAGCTCTTCAGCAAGAAACATGGTTTGTAGTGAAAGCTGGTCAGTTCTGGAAGAGTGTAGAGTGCAAGTTCTGTACCTCTCAGATAGGATTATGGTGGAACTGGTAGTTTATGTCCATTTTTCTTCTTCCTGGGTAGCAAGATGGGAAATTATGTCAGTCTTCTCTTAAGGTGTAGCTGCCCTGGTGGGGTTCTTTTTAATTTATTAATTACATTTTATAAGGCAGGAAATTACATGGTACCTTTAGTAACTTGTGAACAGTATTACAGAGCAATTACTCCTCATGTTAATGCTATAAAAACAAGCCTTTTGACACCAAGAATAATGACAGTGTAAGCCCTGAAAGTATGAGTCATGTATTTACAACATTTAATAAATATAGACAGCCAGTCTGTGACTGACATGCCAGTGTACCAACACCTATGTTGGTATATTTGCCTGGGTGCACTGTGGTTATGCATAAGCTTTTAATAGAAAATAGGATGGGTGATAGGGAATTGTTAACACATTTTCTGTAGTACATAGACAGCAAACATTGAAGCTTTGTCAATGTCTAAATGCAGAGGTATGTGAAAAAGGAATAAAAGGCAGATAAGGTGGAAAGCAGCTGTTGCTGTTTCCACAGCTAATCACGGCTTACAAATTAACAGGGCTTGGTGTCTGGATCTTCATTGCTGTGCCACTCTCCAACAAGGAATTCACAACCAAACTGGGACCTGATGGGAGCTCTCTAATTTTGTTCCAGTTGGAAAAGCAGGGACTGACTTCTCAGTGCAGGGGGGAAAGGGTACTGTGCATTGCACCAGTGACAGTGTCTCCTATGAGGATTTCTCTTGTCTGGGTTTGCAGTGTTTTGTAGAACACAACTGGTTTCACCTGATTGGCATCATATGTGGTCTTGCAATATACAACTTCACAGTGGTAGACCTTCACTTTCCCTTGGCTCTGTACAAAAAACTCTTGAATGTGAAGCCCTGCCTGGAGGATTTGAAGGAGCTATCCCCTACAGAAGGAAGGTATGAAAAGCAAAATTTGCAGCCTTTCTGGGAAGGGAGACCATTTAACTGAGAACAAGAAATGGCAAACTGCATAAAAGCTGTTCAGTAAAACGCCTCTTGATCCCTTTGAGTGACTGATTAATTTGGGGGGCTGTGATCCTAGCAAAGTACATAAGCTGATGGTGAATTTTATGTAAGATTTCTCTCCCACAGGCTATCATATCTACCTGATTAGGATCTAACCTCTGTACCCACCTTCTTGACTCCCAGAAACTGGATATCGATACAGCCAAAAGACACCCATCATGCTCATTTGGAAACAGAAGTGGGGGCCTGTCCCTCCACTCTGTGATTGCATGCATGATCCCAGATCCTAGCCTCAGCCTTTCTCCTCAAGCCAGGCTTGGATTTGCAAGCTGATCCTGCACATGTCTTGTGATGTAGCCCAGGATGGGAACTGTGCATAGGATGTGAACTGTCCCATCCCTGAACCAGTGTAACTCTGACCTGCTCCCATGCCAGAAAGAAAGAAGTTGAATGGAGTGAAGGAATGACTTTTTCTAAATGGCATATTGAATCTTTTCTGCCTAATTGCATGGGGATATTGGTTCTCTCTGACACTGAGAGGTTAAGATCTCCCTGTCTGACTGCTGTCTTCTGAGTTGCCATCTGATTTATCTGCACAAAGCGACAGCTGTATTTAGCAATAATGAGGTAAAATGCTAGGAAGAAAGCAGCAGGATTTTGAGATATAGGTGAATATTCTCTACATGATGAGGGAACAGATATAATCCACCACATTCTCTTCCTCTACTCCCTCAGACCTTTGTGTGGTGATGGCATAAATGTCTAGCAGTCCTTAAGCACTAGAAATGCGCTATTCTAAGGCCAGGATCATTAAAGGGGATCCATGTACTAGGTAGGCATGGACTATATTGATAATTTGTGTGGGCTGCCATTAATCCTGCTTCTAAGAAAGCATCTCTTTATTTGATTTGAAGTGTATTTCATTCTTACCCCTTCTGGTGACTGAGAGTTTCTTTCTCTTGCAATCCTATTACCCAGACGTATGATGCTGTTTACTTTTGCTGAATTTCTTTTCCCCTTTAGATGTATGGCTTTTTGAATCTCTGATTATTTTTGGCTTTCTCCTCATTTTTCCCTTCCTATTCTGCAGGAGTCTTCAGCAACTTTTAGATTACCCTGGAGAAGATGTAGAAGAGACATTCTGCTTGAATTTTACAGTAAGACTCATTTAACATATGAACTCTGTGATTGCTATGGTACTGTTGAAGCGCATCAACTTATTCATCTATACTATGGATTGTTCCAAACTATGCCTGTAGCACATACCCCATGTTAATATTAAATCTTAATGTTAAAATTCATTGCTGTAGAATCCCTTGTTCTTTTGTATGTGGTCATGAAAACTGAGCTAGTAAGTAGATTAAACAGTGTTTTTCAAAATAGCCTTGTGACTTAAATGCCAATGACCAACTTCTCACACTAGACACAATTTTAGATTCCTAAATCCTCCTTGAAAATAGATGTTAGGTTTTGACATCACTAGGTCAATTCTTGAAATGCTAACACAGAATTTTCATTGCTGTTGTAGTATTAATACTTTTTAACTTAAAAACTTCGAGTGAATGTGCTTGGTCAGACTTTATTAGAAACAAAGTGCTGGGGGCTATTGCTAGGAGACACGTCAAGTTAGTCAGCTTTCCTGTGCTACTGCAGCAGTAAAACATTTTTTTTCTAGCTAGTATCCTAGATGCAGTAGTTTCTGTTACACAGTAGAAATTCCCTGAAATTGAGTTTGATCTTGATGTACATTGGAATATCAGGTATGTCCATTTAGAACCTCACAAGGAGATACAGCATTGTTATTCTCCAAGCTGTGTTTTCCTCTGAGTCAGGCAGGGTAAGGTCTTCCATGTTTCAATGTCTTTGCTTAGAAATCCTGATGCTCTAACAGGTGGTGAATGTTGGGTTCATCTTGAGCTTGATCTGGGTTCTTGATCTCTCTGTCTAGGGCCTGCCTAGGGTAAAAACAAGGTACCAGGAAACTACTACACATGGTGAAGAAAATCCTTGCTGAGCTAGGAGAGCGTTGTCCCCTTCCTTGTTTCATAAATGAGAACACATAAAGTCTCTTAGATGAAACTTACCTCTGGAGTGAGTCAGACCTAGGTCTGACTGTGTCTCATGCAGGGCAGAGCTGAAATCCAGGATGAGGTAATGAAATCACAATGGTGATGATAATGCAGACTGTGTGAAAAAGAATACCTTTGAAGTAACACAAGAGATTTTTCTCCAAATTATCTTTTCACACAAAAGAGCATTCTTACTCTCTCTTTCTTGCACTATATATGGCATAATATATATACAAATATATCTGATAAAACTTTGATAAGTAACTGATATTCCAAACCTTGAAATTGGTAAGTCACCTTGCTTGTTGAAATCTGAGCCTCTATTGTGTATGGCAACTTGAATATTGACCCTTTTGCATTTTTACTACATGACTAATCTTGTATGTACAGAATATATGTTTGTACTAGTGCTGTCCTAGGCCAGGCAAAAGCAGGAAGCTGTCTGTGGTCATGCCGTCTTGTAATGAGACTGGATGAATTAACCTACTGAGCTTCTGTTATAAAAAAGAGAGTCCTTTTTGTTGCCAGAGCATGTGGGGTTAGTTAAATGTAGTTTCTTAGTTGTCAATCTCTTTTTTTTCACAGGAAATTTATCTAGAAGAATAACTTTTTTCCTTTCTGAGTTTTCATTTAGACTTAATAGCAGTTGTACAACAAATATAAATGATGGAAGGTAGTGAAGCATGCAGGGCACCACCTTTCACATGCCAGTCAACTGTGAAAGAGAACTCTTTATCTTTCTGCAGCCATATGGCCTAAAATATTAGTTTTCTGATTTTTGTATAGATCTGCAGGGAGAGCTATGGTGTGACAGAGCAGAAGAACCTGATTGAAGGTGGAGATAAAATTCTGGTGCAAAAGGACAACAGGTCAGTGGGGCATATGTGGGGATGGGCTCATACTTGTGGTGAAGTAAGGTGCAATGCCACAGAAAATGTGGCTGAGGTGAAACGTGGGAGAGAATTAGAAGCCACTGCAAACTACTAAGACCAGTTGTTCAGAAGTTACTGGGTGCCAGTAAAAAAAGAAAGCAAGTTTTCATAATTTTTCACCAATATTTGGAAAATGTCCATCCAAAAAGGTGTGGGACATCTTCCCTATAAAAGGCCTTCATATAGGCCTTTGGCAGTTTTCTCATGGTAAATAGAGGTTACAGCATGATTTTGGCCCTCGAAGGTTAATCTCCCTGATGGCTTAAGAGAGGAACTGTATGTGAGCAACAAAACTGAGCCTGGCAAACTTGTTTATACTATTAATTCTGGAGCCAGAAACACTTTCTGTTGAGGAGACCTGATAGTGGACCACCATCCCTAATGAGAGCCATGAGGCCCTACTGTATATAGATTCCTTTCCATTTGACTGAACCCGTGATTGCTGTTACTAGCACAGCTACCATTTCCCTCCTTTTTTTTTTTTTTTTTCCCCGCTGCTAAACTATTTTCTTCTCATAATCCTATAATTGGATTTCTACAAATGCCTTTATTACTTGAAGCACTGTTCAAATTCTTTTTCTGCTGGCAAAACAGTGTGATCCAGTGACTAGTCAGCAGCATGGTTAGGGGCTTGTGCTAGGATTGCTGAAGACCTTGCTGGCAAGTCTGTAGATGAAGTCATTTCCTATTAATCTGATTATTTAAAAGGGTTCTGATTGTGTCTAAAGCCATTGATGTAACAAAAACTTTGTCTGTTTTACCTTCTTACCTACTTCACTGCTGCCCCAAAGGGTGCAGTTTTACAGCTAAATAGCTGCCTTTGTGCAAAACCTACGTGGAGATGGAGCAGTGTATGTCTCTCTCCCTGCAAGGAGAAGATGGGCTTCAGGTAAATGGAGGAAAGCTTCATCTACACTTGTGACAGTGAAGTAAAGATGAAAATGCCAGTGATGATACCCTTTAGGTTTTTAGACTGGGCATGTACACTCAAAAGAAAAATGGCTGTTTTTCTACTGTGTGCCATATTGGCCTAGGGGGAGGAACAAAGATTTCAGCTGAGCAGATGTTTGGGAATAGCACCCAGGTTAGCTCCTGCAATTGTTATTAAGTCAGGATAGACAACAAGACAATAAAATCCTTAAGGGGAAAGGCTGGTGTGTAGCTCCACTGGCTTTAACACATTATGAAATGCAGTTGCTTCATCTTGACCAGAGTTTTGAACTCAAGCTAACCTCTAAATCCAAGTCTAGACATGGCTGCCAATTCATCCACCTTAATGACTTCCTCAACCCCTACATTTAGAGGCCAGGGACCAAATTGCTGCCCTCCTGACCTGAATAGTTTGCTGTGTACATGTCTTTGGGCAGTGCCCTTCCTGCCTGAGGAAAGTTCACCAGGAATCGAAGAATACAAAATAATTGCTTTGAAAAATGAAAAGTTAGAAATGCCTGTGTTTTCCCTTTCTTCTTTGGAGTTCATATTGGGTGTCACATAAAATATTCTTGATAAAGGGTTCATGACCGTAACAGCCAGAGAGGTATTAAGCAACAGTTAAGTGCTTAATCAGCTTGAATTTCCCTAATGCTCAGGTGACTATTAGGAAAATGACACTAAAATAAATGCACTGGAAAATAACTCCCCCTTCGCTATATGATTTCTTATTCCAATTTTTCATATTTGTCAGTCTGCCTTATTTTTCTTTACTTTCTCACCCATCCCTCATCACTTCTGCATTCCTCCACCAAAAGGTCAAAATACTTCTTTCAGTTGTGACCTCCTTAGCTAGAGACTGAGATACTGGATTCCGTGGTGTTCCCTGATCTGCTTATCCTCTGACTTGCGGGTGTGATCTGCTCTTGAATGTCAGGAAAAAAATGACACCTCTACCCACAGAGAATAGTTTCATGTCCCAGTTTGCCACATTGGCTGGTGCATTATTGTCAGGTGCCAAAAAAAAAAAAAAAAAAAAAAAAAAAAAAAAAAAAAAAAAGGAAACATGTTAAGTAATTTCATAAATAAAATTCAGATCACAGTGCTTTGAGAATAGGAAAGAGAAAAGTAGAATAAAGATGTTTAACATCCTAACAAAATCCAGAGACAGGATTTGGCCAGGGCTTGCCATGGGTTTCTTGACAGTGACTACAGAATGCTGTTTTTATTTTAATGCTTTTCTTGGGAACCCTTGAAGCAAAACAGGGTTGTCATTCTGAGAGGAGTCATTCTCTTTGCCACGTACTCTGCGTGCACAAGTCCTGTATTTATTTAACTAGAGTGTGAAGGCTGAAGAGTAGATGTCTCTGCTTTCAAAGAGTATTTTTTTGCTCTATAGTGAGGGGTGTTTCTTCGTGGCTTTCTCTTTGGGGCCGGGGGGAGGGAATTAGCCATGCAGTTTCAGTTCAAGACTTTTTAGAGCAGGATTTTCTCAGTCCGCCTCCCCTGTGCTGAGCAACCCCAGACACCTGTGGACTGAGAGGAGCTGTAGCTTATTTCCTGGACTTCCTAAATGTAGGGTTGCATGAGCTGGGCCAGGGAGCGGACATATTCCTCTGGTGACTGAATCCTGATATTTGCTTAACACAACCTCTGTGCAGGCCACGGGTTCTGTAGGGAAGAGCACTCTGTTCCTGACACCTCCCCAGTGCTTGGTGTCACTCTGGCTCCCTCCTGGCCAGGTGAGGAATGGGATGCAAGGCCACTAGGTGGGTTTACTGGTAGTATAAAGCCTGGGCTGCGGGGGGACCTCCCACGCTGTTGGTGCTGGGGAATAAGCAGACACATGGTGGTACTTGCTGCCTAGTACTTTGTCGATGTTGCAGTGACTCAGCTCAGTGAAAGGAGGGCAGCGGGTTTAACCTGTTGGAGACTCATGTTTGCAAGACACAGGCAGAAACAGGAAAACTTAGCAGTGCTGCTGCTCAGGCATATGAATAAAAGTACTTTCCTTTGCCTGTTCTCTCTTGATGCACTAGGAAAGAATTTGTTGAAGCCTATGTAAATTACGTCTTCAACCTTTCCATCCATGAGTGGTACACAGCCTTTTCCACTGGCTTCCTGAAAGTGTGTGGTGGGAAAGTCCTGGAACTCTTCCAGCCCACAGAGCTCAGGGCCATGATAGTTGGAAACAGTAACTACAACTGGGAGGAACTGGAGGAGGTAAAGCTTTCCTTTTGTTTTATTTTTCTTCTTTCACAAGTACCAGGATTGTACTACAGTTACGTGAGGTGGGCACTAGCCTGGGACATGAGATGTGACAAGCCACAGATATCTTTTTATGCTCCCTGTACACCTTGCCATTATTCACATGAGACGTTTCTCACTGGGCTTTCCTGCTACTGATAAAGCTTGGAGAAGAAATTCGGGATGAGGAAGGACAGGGAAGGACAACTTCGTTTGCTTTTTTTAGGAATGAAACCTAAGAATGATGGGAAGAGACAAAGTCAGGGTCTTCACCTACAGTAAAACTCACTCCACTGCACAAGGACAAAAAGTACACAGCCAAGGGTTCAAAGGGGAGTCTGGACACACAGTAAGAGTTGTATCCTCTCAAAAATGCATAGATCACCAAGCTACTTTCTCAGTCACAGCCTCAGTGGTAAAAGTGACTTTGCAATGCAGAACACTTGATCCTGTTCATGAGTCCAGCCTGTGAGCAGGTACTCCAGAATTCCTCATGACACATGTAATTAACTGAATAGCTAGAAGCCTAATGCCTGCCTTCCATATTGCTGGGAGAGCCCTTGGCTGGGTCTTTGAGCCATGCTGTTGCCCGTGACGCATCTTGTGCTCCATTTTGTAACTGTCAGACATTGATCTGATGTCAGATACCAGAAGAGATCAGGTCTGTCTTTTGCTTAGTCTTTGCATTCTAGTGCCAGATGACATGATGTGGCTTTCTGGTTTTTAACAGAGTGCTGTCTATAAGGGAGACTACTCTGCAACACACCCAACAGTGAGAATGTTTTGGGAAACCTTCCATGCATTTCCCTTGGAAAAGAAGAAGAAATTTCTCTGTAAGTATATTGCAGTGGGTGCAGTGTCTCCTGAAATTGAAGACTCGGGTGGGAGTGACTGCAGAGCTCCAGGGTTACAGCACATTGCATAAAGGGCTAGAAGATGATCCAGCATGAATGGCTATTTCCTGAGTTATCTGCTAGTCAGATAATCAGTTTTCTCCCTGTCTTTTTTTTTTCTTTTTGTGTTTATTTTTATCCTCATTTTTACTCTCAAAATCAGTGGGTGATATCTGCAGTGCAAGATCCAATGCAGTCTCACAAGGGAGTGCAGTATCCATCTGTTTGCATTGCCAGGTGGTGAATTCATAGCAGCCCCAGAGCCAATAGTTTGTCTGGTTCTTCTTCTGCAAGCTCATCTTTCAGGCATTGAAGCGCTCTTCTTTTTTATTTTTTTTATTTTTTTTTAATTTTTTAGGGCAGCAAGGCAATTGTAGGGTGATAGCTGAGTTGAGAAGCTCGTGCATAATGTGGCAGGAAAGTGAGACCGCCTACTGATGTGACTGGGTAGCAGATACCTCCCCTCCTGATGGTGGTCTCCTTGTGCTAGTATGGTGGGTGGTGTGCTGAGAAGGGGAGGAAATCCACTGCATAAGTGACCTTGGGAACTGTGTGTGTTGCTTCAGATCTGAGGGCAGCTGGGACACTTGAGCTGCTGTGTGGGGGTCATCTGGGGACAAAAGGAGAGACAAGGAGAAATACATGGTTTTAAGGGCAGGTGGTTTTAAGTTTCTTGCTACAGCCAGCAACTTTTGCTCCCTTGGGAGTCATGGTGGACACCAAGTTGACTATGAGCCCACAATGTGCTCCTGCTGCAAAGAAGGTGAATGGTACCCTGGGTTGCGTTAGTGGGGAGTGTTACCAGGAGATCCAAGGGGGTGAGCTTTACCCTCTACTCAGCCCTGGTGAGGCTCCATCTGGAGTGCTGTGACCACTTCTGGACTCCCCAGTGTACAAGAGACATGGACATACTGGAGAGACTCTAGCGAAGGGCTGCTAGGATGACTGGGGCACTGGAGCATCTCTCCTCTCAGGAAAGGCTGTGAGAATGGGGACTGTTCAGCCTGGAGAAGAGAAGGCTCACAGGGGACTTCATCAGGGAGTATGAATACATGTAGGGAGGGTGCAAAGAGGATGGAGCCAACTTCTCAGTGGTGCCCAGTGACAGGACCAGAGGTGGTGGGCACAAACTGAAACAGCGGGTTCCTTCTGAACATCAGGAAACACTTTTTCCCTGTGAGAGTGACAGAGCACTGGCACACTTACCCACAGAGGTGGTGGATCCTTCATCCTTGGAGATACTCAAAAACTGGACACAGTCCTGGGCAGGCTGTTCTAGGTGGCCCTGCTTGAGCAGGGGGGTTGGCCCAGAGGACCTCCAGAGGTCCCTTCAAACTCAGCCACTCTGTAATCCGTGACTGCTGGAAAGATATGTGAGGTTTTCCTCCCCCCAAGAAATGAGCAGTCTGCTAGTTGTTCTGCATGTTGGAGTTGAAAAAATAGCTCAGCCAAAACTTGCATGCTGAAGTTAGCAGCTGTGTAGAGGGGGTCCTGGGGGTCCGATTCCCAGCAGAGGCTTTGTTGGGTACCTCCCCTCACTCTCCAAACAGCCATGGCAGGGACAGTGCATGAGGGTGGTGCTTGGGGAGAGCATGGGTGTGATGGGGAGCAGCAAGGATGACCCAACCCTGCTCCCAGCATCGAGGTGCTGTGCCTGGGAGGGGTGGCAGCAGGGAGGGTGGCTGGGCCCCCTCTGCCTCTCCCCGGAGGTGTGCCCCTGCCATGGGCATCAGGCAGCCCTGGCTTTGCTCCTTTTTATCCTGCCTGGGCATAAGATGTAGCTTTTAAGGGGAAGGGGTGCCACGGGCTGCTTTACTCATCTGCACACCCAGCAACGGCCTTGCTTCTTGCCTCTGCTCTTCTGCACCTCCTCTGTGAGGGCAGCCATGCCCTGGCCCTGAAGCACGGAGTTCAGTCAGTGTTCCAGTCCCTGCAGGCAGGGTCCCATGGTTTGGGCTGGGGGATGGAGTTTGCCTTCAGGCGCAGCCCTCTGCACTAGGTTGCCTGCCCTGTAGCTGTCCAACCTTCCCTCTGCTTCTAGTGTTTCTGACGGGCAGCGACCGCATTCCCATCTACGGCATGTCCAGCCTGCGCATCGTCATCCAGTCCACTGCCAGCGGGGAGCAGTACCTGCCCGTGGCACATACCTGCTACAATCTCCTGGACCTGCCCAAGTACAGCAGCAAGGAGATCCTCAGCGCCCGGCTGGTGCAAGCCATTGATCACTACGAGGGCTTTAGCTTAGCTTGACCTACGTGGGAGAGGCACAGACACTTGGGTACGGAGGAAGAAGATGATGCGCTTGGCTTTATTTTTATAAGGGAATGGATCAGAACATTTTGGGGGGAAATATAATTAATAATAATGATAATAGATTGAGATGATGCAGTTTCAGCCTGATGCTGCCAGCATTTTGTGGGGCTTCAGCAGGGAGAGGCTACTGCTTGTACTTATCTACTGAACGAAATCAGTTCAGTGGACATTTTTGTTGTTTCCTCTCCAACTTGATAGCACTGCCCTCCCAGCATTTCCTTGTAGTTTGCTTTTATCACTGCCCCCCCCCCCCC